GACCAGGCTGTTAAATGGTTAAGTAAGCTGCTGTATTTTTTTAACTTCTTATTTCTTTTCAACACTCAGTTTTACTGCTTGGGTTGTGATTAGGTAGTTAATATTTATTTAAAAGATATTATCTTTATCAACTTGTAGTTTCTCCCATATGACAGCAGAGGTCAGTAAAAGGCAGAAATCCTGGGGTTCAAATGTTAAATTTATCTTAGTCCACATAATGAAAGTTGATTTTTAAACGTCTGTCTACCACTTTTTTTGTGTTAAGATCATCAATGTCTAGTCTGAACATCTCAATTGTCCAGGAATGCAAAGGATAGCCATTTAGGGTAAAGCGATTACATAAAGTAAGTAAGCAAGCCTGATGGAGCTCTTGAACAAAATGTTCAGGAAATATTCAGTCAGACTTCTGCACCGGTGGATAAGTGTATGAGCAGGGTACTTTAATTAGTCAGGGGCTGTTTATTTTTTAGAATTATTTTCATAGACAAAATTCAAAATCTATATTTGTTTTTTTACTAATTTTCAGTTAGAAAATGTATTACTTGCCCTACGACAGACTGGCAACCTGTCCAGGATGTACCCCGCCTCTTGGCCATAGAAAGACGAAGATAGGCCAACACCACCCTGACTAAGCAGAAGATGGATGTATTTATTACTTTTTCGGTTTTGTGTTATTTGAATTACTAGTGTGAATTTATTAATTTCTTTAATTAATTAATTAATTGAACATTATTGATCTCACAATGGAGAAATTTAAATCTGCTTTTAACCCATCTTTTAACCATGCATTTAACCATTGAGCCCCCGGGGAGCAATTGGGGTTAAGGGTCTTTGCTCAGAGAGCCAGAGTGGCAGTCTGAGGGAGTGGGTCTCGTACTTGGAACCTTAGGATTCCAAGCTCTGGGCTCTAAGAACCTTTCCCTTCAAAAAGTCCCAAATATTGCAAAATGCCTTTTCATGTAAGTTACATGTCCTAAAACTATGCTGCTATTGTTTTTTCGTAATAGATGCTATAAAGACATCAAAAATGTCCTTAAAGGGGAACACTGTTTTTTTTTTTTTTTACATTGGCCCCTTGATTTTACGTTATTGCATCATGTTCTACTCACCAAATATAAATATGAAAAATATAACTGCGGATGTCTGGGGAACAGTGATTCGCCTACATGTTATGAATACTGGCGTACCATAAAGAATAAATTATGAAGTTTAGTTTGTGTCTTCAACTCGTTGCCCATAGGAAGACGTTACATATAACAAAACCAAATATCTTCAGAACAGCTCCAAATGGCACAAAACTAATATGGGTGAGTAGAACACGATGTAATAACGTAAAATCAAGTGGCCAATCTAAAAAAAAAAAAAAAAAAAAAAAAAAAACAAAAAAAAAAAAAACGGTGTTCCCCTTTAAAGCATCTATTATAAAGTACACCACTAGAACGCAATGCCTGGAGTCCCCATCTTTTCAGCAGCTGTCACTCCATATTTTGATGCTCAGAAATAAAGATGTTAGACCTCATCTGTTTCTCATTTCTGCCTTTAATGGGTAATTTCAGGGTGTCATAATTCAATTATATCAGACTTGGTACATCATATATAACCCTTTGTTCAAAGCAAAACGTTTCATTTCTGGTTTATTTGTGTCAGACTAAGAGATTGTTAATGAACATTATTACTGTTGCAAGACGTATCTGGAAGATCCTAAGGAAAGTAAAGGGATATGTACTTTTGTGAGAAAAATATTTTAATAATAAAGAAAAAATAGATTTTTATATCAGGTTTTCTACATAGATTATCTACAGTTCATATCCAAATTTACAAGCAGTTGGGTAAATGGTTAAAATTAGGAAAGCTTTAACTTCAGTTGTCTGTTCCATGCTAATCAAAGCATAAAGAAATGCAAATAGAGAATTAGTTTTATTGTGAGCAATCAACAAATACAGAACAGAATGAAGAGTTCTGAAATATTATGAAATCAAGATATGAGAGAACACTGGATCATCTAAGTTCAACAAGCTCTTCCTTAAATGAAGCTTTCAAAGACAGGATAATATCTGCTGTCCAACTGGAGAAGAATCATTTCTGTTCTGGAGTTATAACCTGCATCTTGCAGAGGTTGGCTTAATTCTGTGCAGGGATCGAAAGAAACATCGAGGCATTGGCTAATTGCTGAGCAACCAAAGTTCATCAATGTCAGTAACTTTGGGAGAATTGACATGGATCAGATCCATTTTTGGAAGTAGTCTGTGGAAACTACAGGAAAACATACATTTAGTTTAAAACTCAAATGACTTAATTTCAAGTTCCTTGCAGTAAACCTACATTCTTAAAGAGTTATGAGTTACAGTTAAACAATCAAACCTAATGTAGCCAGACACCTTCACTCATAAGAATATTTAAACTGATCTAGACTTTTCATTTTGTACTATTTTATGCAAAAAAGTCAAATTAAAAGTAAAATTAGATTTTTTTTTCTATTTATATCTGTGTGAGGTCCACTGACTACTTCTCATTTTTGTGCTAAAGGGAAATAAAACAGTTAACTAAACTAACTTAATTCATGAGATTTTGTCTTACTATTATCAACAATTATACTACAAATATGAGAAACATAAATATAAAAGAAACAGTATTAATATTTTTTGGTATGGGTGCCGCCATATTACAGTACCCCAAGCAGTTACGCCATGGAGTTGGTCAATGCTTCAGCTAGCAAATGAATAAATTTAATATAGCAGCGATACATCATAACTATAAAATGCTTTAAAAATTTAGTACGATTGAAGACGAAGCTGAAAGGATAGTAAAGCGTCTAAATCACATGACATACGCTTATGAGCCCATTCACCATGTGAAGTGAGACGTAGGATGGAGAGAAGAGGCAGTTTTGGAACCGGGGTTCTTACTAGCCCCGCTACCTGACAGAACACCCACTATAATGTAAAAACTCTTCAGTATGGCAAGCTAGTGGTCCATCAGACAGCCAGCTAAAGTTAGTTTATTTCGCTGCCTATAAAAGTTGGGCTCTACTGACCGGCCAAAAACTACGACAGCAGGTCAGCTGCAACAATCAAGCATAGTGACATGGTGCAAAAACACCATAAGCAGGCAGAATAAAAAAAAAAAAAAAAAAAAAGAAAAAATCCACTGGACTTTGCTTCCAAGTTCGAAGGCGTTTAACTTCCCATCCAGGAAGCTAAACGTCTTCAAAAATGGAAAGAAAAAAAAAGTAATTGGAATTTTTTTTTCTTTTATATGTAAATTCATGTTGCCACTTACCGAGTCAAGAACTATGCCCCTATGCTCTAGTGATGGACAAACGTCCATCACAACTTTATATTAGTAAAGTTTTGCTTTACTAATGTTCGGACACTTAGATCGCTCTGCAAAGAGATGGAAGCTTTGGAGGTGTCCCTGAATGACCCCAGAGCAGAGACACGGCATGACCGGACATTTCAGGGATAAAGCCCGTAGGATGGTGAGGGAGAGCTGGGATCTTAGGATAACCTGACTGCCTGCCATGGAAACGGGGAATCACGGTAAGAAATAGACCCTTTCTTTGGAGGTTTGGACTGCAGCGGTATCCTGTGCTGCATAGATGTGTTCATCCTGATAGCTGGAGGTATAAAAAAGTGTGCTATTAAGAAGCTCAAACAGGAATAACTGTGGAAAGCTAAGCTCTAGTGATGGACGTTTGTTTTGGAGTTAGGGGCATAGTTGATGACTGACAACATAACATGATTCTACCTGCTTAGTGTGTTTTTCACCTAGTCATTATGGTTGACTGTTACTGCTGACCAACTGTTAGAAAGTTTTGGCCAGCCAGTAAAGCCCAGTCTAAAGAAGGTTAAAATCACCTGGAGCAGATTCAGGCTTTAGCCGACTGGCCGATGGATCATAAGCTGCATGTCTCAAATGTTTTTGCTTTACATTATCTCCACAGCCGGTGTTCTGTTGGGTAGCAGGGATAGTCAGAACCCCGGCACCAAAACTGCCTCCTCCCTCCTTATTGCGGCTCATGTCACACGGTGAATGGGCTCCAAAGCATAAGCTAATATCATTTAGATGCTTGAGTGTCCTTTCAGCTTCATCTTCCGTTATACCAAATTATTTAAGTGTTTTATGGTTGTGATGTATCTCCACTGTTTTCAATTGCTAGCTGAAGTATCAACCAACCCATTACATCACAGCTTTGAGTACTGCAACAAAAAACATTTTTTTCTTTTACAATTATATTTTTCAAATTTGTAATACAATTTTTGATAATAGTAAGAAACAATCTCTTGAATTAAGTTGAGTTTGGTTAACCATTTTCACTTTAACATTTGATGTGGAAATGTGCCAATATCAACAAAGTTTTTTTTCTTCACATATTTGAAATAAAGGTTCACCTGTGTGGGTTCTGATGTGATCATTTAAAATACTTATCTAGGAAAGACTTTTTTCACATGTATTATACAGAAAAGGTTTCTCATCTGTGTGGGTTTGCCTGTGAGAATTTAGAGTACTAATCTGAGAAAAACGTTTTCCACATATCTCACATGGAAAAGGTTTTTCACCTGTGTGGGTTCTGATGTGAGCATTTAAAGTACCATGATGAGAGAAATTTTTTCCACATATTTTACAGCGATAAGGTTTCTCCCCGGTGTGGATCCTGATGTGAGCATTTAAGCTACTAATCTGAGAGAAACTTTTTCCACATGTCTTGCATGGAAAAGGTTTCTCACCTGTGTGGGTTCTAATGTGAACATTTAAATGACTGACCTGAGAGAACCTTTTTCCACATGTCTTACACGGAAAAGGCCTCTCACCTGTGTGGGTTCTGATGTGAATGCTTAGACTTTTAAACTCAGAAAACCCTTTTCCGCATGTCTTACAACGAAAAGGTTTCTCACCTGTGTGAGTTCTAATGTGAATCCTTAAACTACCAATCTGAGAGAAGTTTTTTCCACACACGTTACATGGGAAAGGTTTTTCACCTGTGTGGGTTCTGATGTGGTCATTTAAGTTTCTAATCAGGGAGAAACCTTTTCCACATGTCTGGCATGTAAAAGGTTTCTCACCTGTGTGGGTTCTAATGTGAATCCGTAAACTACCAATCTGAGAGAAGTTTTTTCCACAAACGTTACATGGGAAAGGTTTTTTCACCCGTGTGGGTTCTAATGTGGTCATTTAAGTTTCTAATCCTGGAGAAACCTTTTCCACACGTCTCGCATGAAAAAGGTTTGTCACCTGTGTGGTTTATGTAATGCTGTTTCATGGTAGACTTATTCCTAAAGAATCTCCCACAAATGTCACATTTTAAAGGCATTTTCTCCATGTCAGTTTGAGGCTGACTCTCTGACGTAGTGGAGCTGCGTTCTTCCCATTCTTTAGTCTCAGCTGCAGAAAAGATATCAATGGAATGCTGATCAGTTCTTGGTTCTCTTTCACTCAAATCAACTTCCTGAATATTAAAGGTCTCCATAAAAGTGATTGACTGCTTCTGGAAAAGCTGCTTTTCCTTCTGTCTGCTGTTTAGGTCTTCCTGGTACTGTGTAGACAGTGTATGCTCTGGTAGCCACTGTTCATATTTAGGTAGTGAATAATCTGGTTCCTTCTTAATGTCAAGTAGCGGGGATGCTGGCTCTTCCTCTTCTTGATAACATGGAGGTCCTGATTCATTCTGTTTTTCCTTCAATAACACATCCTGTTCCTGATGTTCCACTTCAGCCCATGAAAACTCAGGTTCATCTTTTTCTTCTTTGATCAGTGAAGACTCTTGATGTTCTTCTTCCTCTTTAATCCATGGAGGTCCTGGTTCCCCCTGTTTTTTAATATGTGAATATGGATTTTCTGGTTCCTTGCAATCCTCTTCAGTCCACTGAGGTACTGCTTCATCCTGGTCCTTATTGGACCTTTTGCGCTGGTTACGAAACAGCTGAATGGCTATAGTTTCCTCCTCGTTGAAGATATGTGGCTTTTGGATTCCTGCAGGGGACAAAAAAAGATAACATGATGCAATTAGCCCCTTTTCATTGCTTGCTGAAGCCAAGGGCAGGTTTACGAATCTATGTGGGTAATTTCTAGTGCTAAGGCAAATTAGACAAAGGGACACAAAAAATAAATATATAAAAATAGAGCATGAAACAATACATGATGCTTTGATCATAAGTTTACATACCTTTGAAAGATTTTTTGTTTTTTGGCCTTTTTTTCAGAGACTATGAACAATGACACAAAAACTTCTCTGTCACTTAGTTAGTTGATGAGAGAAGCCATTTATTGATAAACAATTGTGTTTTCTATTTTTAAATCATAATGACTGCAGAATAAGCATCCAAATTACTACAGTTGACACAGATGGGTTTGACTGACATCTGTGTCTGTTTGACTGACATTTTGTGCTTGTAATAAGTGTGTGTGCAGACAAGCTCATTAGTTTCTGGGATCTAGACACACTCTTGCATCTTCTGAGTCATGGGTAAGCAAAATAATTGTCAACTGATCTCACAACAAGCCTCAAGACTTCCAGAACAAACTGATTTTAGAGTGCTGGGACCAAATTTTATTTTTTTTTTTTTTTGCGAAAACCATATAAATTACATTTGGAGAGGTGACAACAAGGCCTATGAAGAAAGGAAGACCATTCTTACTGTAAAGCATGGAGGTGGATTACTGGTGTTTTAGGGATGTGGTGAACAGCATCATGGTGGTGCCTGTTGACAGCAGCCTCATGCAGCTCCCAACAATCCCACAAAATATGCCATTCAGATCACTACAAACCAGCATCATCCTGACTGAATCATGGCTTCATTCATTGTTACCGGACATCGTTACCTGGACGGCCTCACGCTATCCTGTGCTGATAGGAACAGAGAACTAACAGGTAAGACTAGTGGTGGTGGGGTCTGTTTACATCAACAACAGCTGGTGTAAATATGCTAGACCAGTGGCGAGCTTCTGCTCTCCTGACATCGAGTATCTGACTGTTGATTGCAGACCGTTCTATCTGCCCATACTGTTCAGTGTGGTTAGCATTACTGCTGTTTACGTGCCCCCCAGCACTAACACAAAAGAGGACATGAAGACTCTATACCAGGCTATCTCACAGAGGGTTTTCATCATTGCTGGAGATTTAAACCAGGCTAACTTGAAGACTGTGCTCCCTCATTTCTACCAACATGTGGACTTTACAACCTGGGGTGAAAACATTTTAGATTTAGCCTACTCTAACATCAAATATGCATTCAGAGCAGCTCCCCGCCCCACCTCAGGTCATCAGATCACCTTTCTGTCAAGCTAATTCCTGCATACAGGCCCCAGCTAATCAGGGCTAAACCAACAGTTTAAAAATGTCAGAGTGTGTCTGGATCGTTCCAGACACAACCGAGCCGCCCCAAATCTAGCTCTAGTTCAACAGTAGGGCTCAGCATCTATAGCTTGGTTTCCGATAACAAAGAGTGCAAGAGCATCTCCTATTTACAGTCAGCTGACTCATTTCGTGGGTTTTCCGGCCTATCTGGCTTTGCAATTCACAGATCTGGATCTAACATAGCAGTGAAGACAATAGTTTTGCTAACTCTGAAAGTTCAACTCGATCAAAGCTGTTTAAACCTGGTTCAGATTCTATGGTTACCTCAGATGCTGCCTCACCTTCCAGAGATAAACAAATCATAGTTAGAGGAGTGCTAATGATCTTCTTTTTAATACAATCAATCTTATTTATAAAGAACCCCATAAAATCTATTGATAAATATTGTGAATGTGAATCCTACCGATTCTCTGCAGCTTTTCCTGGGGTTTCCAGCAGTTTTCCATCAGTCTGTTTTCTTCCTCGTAGCGAATGATTGTTTTTTCAACCTCTGTGAAGATTTCCTCAGCGGCAGCAGTTAGTCGCTCTCTGATAAACTCTCTCAGATGCTGAACTGAAGACATTTTTACAGAAATATTCAGCTGAGATATGAAAACACAACCTAGCACTAGCTAAGTCAACGCTAGCTGTTTGACTGTTTTGTTTTACTTCCGCTGGTTGTCAAGTTAAGGCAATGCACCCGACCTTTTACCGCCCCCTGTCGGATTGGATTGGAACAGCAAAATGGCCGCAAAAACAGACTATTCTCTGATCAGACCACAACTTTTATAAACTGGTATTAATGGAGCATACATTAAAAAAACCATTATAGGGCAGTGTTAAAAGTCGTCTCGACTTCCCAGGGTCCGTTGATTCGAGTGCAGGTAACTTAGATGGAATGAAATAAAGAATCTTGACAATGAAGCTTCGATTTTCCTTTTGCAAAAGGGAGAGCGGCAGCACACATCTGCGAACAGCAGCTCTGACTCTCTCCAACACAGCCTTTTTATTATCTTCATCAAGGAGAATTTTACAATTTCACACAGACAGTCCCGCAAGAAGTTACAGAGTGATCATACTCCTTACATTCCTATCCCCATGTATGGAGGTGTTGTTCTGTTTTCTGCTCCCTTGTTAATCATCTTTTTCTGTATGTGTGCGCGAGCAAAGGTCATTCTCAGCCTTCCACCTGCATATGATGTTTTTACACTCTGTCATGACTGCCCTGATATATATGAACAATAAGTTTTGCTACAGCTTTAAATTAGCTCTTTACTTCTTTTAGCTTAAAACATGTACATATATATATATATATATATATATACATATATATATATATATACATATATATACATATATATATATACATATATATACATATATATATATATATATATATACATATATATACATACATATAGATCTTCTGCTTCTAGACCTCACTGAGGGACAGGTGGGGGGACTCCATTTGTAAGGGATAAAAAACGGTAACATGCTGAAGATATATATATATATATATATATATATATATATATTCTTTTAGCTTAAAACATGTACATATATATATCTTATATGTATAAGATATATATATATATATATATATATATATATATATATTCTTTTAGCTTAAAACATGTACATATATATATCTTATATGTATAAGATATATATATATATATATATATATATATATATATATGTATATATATATATATATATATATATATATATATATATATATATATATATATATATATATATATATATATATATTTATATATATATATCTTCAGCATGTTACCGTTTTTTATCCCTTACAAATGGAGTCCCCCCACCTGTCCCTCAGTGAGGTCTAGAAGCAGAAGATCTATATCTTATCATTCAGCAAAGATGCTGCTACATGGCTGTACATCTTATTTGGCATTTGACCAATTAGATGAGCCCTTGAATGATATACTGTAGAGTTAAGTTTAAAAAAAAAGGTAACAAGTCAAGGAAAAGAGGTAAAAAGCTCATTGAAATATTAAAAGTAAAGTTAAAAGTTAATAAGCCTAGTTAACAATTATATTTAGAATTATAAACTAAAAAATGCAATTGCAAGTATCAGCAATAATGCCTCTAGGGCTATGTTGGACCAAAAACAATCTGTTTCGTTTATTCTCAGAGTGTTTTTTATTAATTTGTTATAGAAGCACTTTTTTAATTTTTCTTAATATATTCGGGCAAGTTGGCATTTCTTGTTATTACATTGATATACATTTTTGCAATTTAAATGTCAATTTTTAAGGTAATAAGGTCTTTTTATGGATTCCAATAACACTATTGGTTTGAAATTTGGATTTTCAAAGTATTTCACTGAGTCCCCTATAAAGGGTTAAACACGATTAGTTTTTATAGTAAAAGTTATTTGAAAGACTGATGGTCCTGATTAACAGCTCTGAAGCAGCAGTTATTTTCTCTGGGCTACAGGGGCTGGTAGGAGTTTTTAGGAGCTGTTAGAAACTGTGGTTCTCATCTGAAGCTTGCAGCTTGTCCTTTTTTGGCTGTATTAGAGCCACTTCTCTCCTGGTTCACCCAAGGAAAACCCACTGCATAGAAAGCTTTTCCTAACAGCTACTGCTCTGTGCTGTCTGTGTTCAGGTCAAGGGTGTAACTTTGTAATGAAAGTTGGTGGGGTCACTTGAGTCGACCCAAAAACTTTCAGTAGATTTTTGTATTTGCCAAAAATGTGCACAAACATATATTTATTCAATGTTTTCCTATTGTTGAAAACACAGGTGTTTATATTTATAGGTATTTAGACAGATGCCTTTTAGTGCATTATTTATAAAGCACTAAAAAACATTAATGCTGGTGAAGATTCTTAGTCATCCAAGTCATAGTTATTCCAATAAAAACGTAAAAAACTTGTTTCCAAGTTTGAAGATGTTTTGCTTCCCATCCAGGAAGCTTTTTCAATTCAAAATATGAGGAATAGAGTTGAGTTCGAGGTTTTATACAGTATCTCATCAAAAACTTGTTTTTGTTTCGAAAACATCCTCTTTTTTTGCATGTTTTCAAAAGTAAATAATTCTGGACACATGTGGCGAAATAGTTGCGTTTTCATTACAAGTGTGTACTGAACTTAGTCAACTATTTGTTAACAGAAAGAAAATTACTATTGGAGTGTTTATATTAAAGAAATGCAGTTAAAATTGTATGAAATAAGGCTGTTCAAACATGAAAAGATATGTTAACATCTTCCTCCTACTTTTTGCAGCAACATACAAGTTGAAGGCTTAGATGAAGACAATGGTTTTGCTAACTCTGAAAGTTGAACTGGATCAAAGCAGCCTAAACTCAGTTCAGATTTAACCCTCCAGAGATAAACCAATCATAGATAGAAGAGTGCTAATGATCTTATTTTTAATAAGATCAATCTTATTTATAAAGATCCCATAAAATCATTACTGCTAAGAGCAGGTGGAATGGATGGTTCAACAGAGCTATGGCTCTGGGTGAGCTTGGCAACTGTATTCAAAATATATCTATGAGTAGCTTTCTACTTCTAATGTTTGAGTTTTTCAAAGGGGCTGCATTGTCTAAGGCACCAACCCCTGCTATGTATGCACTAGGCTTGTCCCGATCCGATACGTGGATCGGATCGGGACGCCGATATTGGCAAAAAAATGTGTATCGGCAAAGCATGTAAAATGCCGATCCAGACTGCCGATCCAGTTTTTAAAAAAAAAAATCCGGTCCGTATTTTCCAGTTTCGCCGATTGAAACGATCCACTCCACTATTTTGCGCCAGTGTTTCCCTGTTTTGCATTTTTATTAAAACTTACAGTTATACTTGCACCTTTAACTGTTTACGGTTTTACTGTTCACTGTGCAATTTCAGATTGCTATTCATAATTTTGTCCAGTTTGTGTTTATCTCTTAATAAACAGGTAAGTTTGTTGTTACCAAGCATTGTGTTTTATTCAATCTCACCTAATTTAGCTGGCTAGATGTTATCAAGAGTACTAAAACCCTTTTCAACATGAGTCTTACAACTAAGGCTAAATACTTTAACTTAAACTTAAACACATGCTCGGATAGGCTGGTATCGGCCAGTATCGGTATCGGATCGGAAGTCCAAAAACAATATCGGTATCGGATCGGAAGTGCAAAAACCTGGATCGGGACATCTCTAGTATGCACCAAATGTGTGGTGAGTGTTTCAGGACAAGGCTGTGGGGATGCACCTGGTCGGTTTACTGGGATTCAAATTTCACTTGGAATTTTACTCAAAGCAGATGTCTTTTACTTTGCCACTGTGTCTCTCTCCCTGTCTCACTCATGAGATTACAGTCAACATTTTCTAAAAGGTCCTAAAACCTTCCGAATCCTAAAACCTTCCCGAATGACATTTATGGCATGTACTTATATATTTATATATATATTTATCAATCCTCCGTCTCCCCACTCTGGCTGCTAGTATGGGTATGTGGAAAATGGCCGGCGACGAGAGGTTCGCGCTCCTCCAGCTTTTCTGCGGTATAGCAGGAAGGCTAGGGGCCTTGACTAACAGAAAGGGGGGGAAAAGGTGAGAGCTGCTAGCTCAGAGAGAAGCAGTGCTCGGATAAATTATTATGAAATTGAAGTAATCTCTGAAAATTAAGTTTCGCTCCTACTGTAGCTGTGAAATAACACATGGAATGGTCTATTTAAAACAGGCAACATCCTTTTTTTATTGAACGCTGTGAAAATTGCAGGCAGGACTATCACAAAGCAATTCAAACTAAATATCTCATACAAACACTCCTGAATACAACTCAGTCTTCTTCAGATATATATTCATTATATACAAATCCTGAAGCTTTATAAGCTCACGTCGAAAAAATTAGGTAAAAGTAATAGTTTCGTGAAGAAAAACCGTTCCTGTGGTGTTTTATTTAGCATTTTGTAAATCCCATTGAGTTCTGTTGGAATAGTCAATATCCCTCCGCCACCGGAAACGGGGGCCTGTTTACGCTTAGTTGTAGTCTTTTCGCAAGGCCCAAGTGTTTCTGCTTCACTCTGTGTACTCCGACGTCGAGGTGCTAACGTCTCTGTTAAACACTTTAAAAAACTCTGAAAATGGAATACGAAAGGTGGATTCTTGAGGAGGACATATTGGACTTTGAGTTTGACGGTAGAGGATACCGTCGCCAACTAGTGGTCTGGAGTGTGCAACGCTTCAGATTCGAACGGGAAGCGAAAGTTTATAAGCGGTTGTGATGTATCGGAAAAAATAGTTCTGGGATTTACAAAATGCTAAATAAAACAAGAAAGGAACAGTTTTTCTTCACGAAACTTTTTTTGGAATGTCATTGAACAGCGCTGACGACCCGGTGAGTAGCATATTTAAAAAAAAGAACGTTTAAGGTTGTTTTAAGGACACTATCGGACATGCACTATGGAAGCCATTCTGAAGCAGCCAGGGGGGGATTCTGCATGAGCCAAAAAGCAGAGACAGGACCAATCGTCAAAATTTTGGTGTCGATCATTCGATTTCATCCTGGACACTACAGAAAATGGGCTAAAAGTGTTAAAAACCGGAATTTTCCTTTAAGCTGATGAAATTCAGGATGGCAACTTAAAATGTATAGACATTTCTAGATGTGTAAAACTTAATTCTTGCTAGTATCATTTTTTTTTACTTTATGAAATTCAGGTTCTACTGCAAAAATGTAATTTAGAAGATTTTTCAGTTTAGGAGTGTGGTTTTCATGAGGAAGAATTTCATTTTAGTGATCTACAAATGGAATAACAGAGAGCAGAGTGCTTTTAATACATGTAGAAACGGTCTGCCATAAACCACTTCATATAAACCTACACCTTAACTCGAGCAGCAGTTTTCTCCTGTGCCATCTTCCTCTCCTATGTAGATGTAGCGCTTTGTCTTTTAAACACATTCTCCATTTTTTATTTCTTCATTATAAAATTTCCAGCTCGAGTAGGGTGAAATAGGCACTTCTGTTGCCATGGTGACTCGTCAAATCAGGGCTCTGATGATGGCTTTTTAAACTTGTCACACATGCGCTTAACTCTGAGTGGAGCTTATTAGAGTTGATTGAACTAATTCATAACAGCTCTTGTGAAACCGAAAACTCAGACTTCCCGACCCTAAGCTAGATTAGTTTAGAGTAGCGGATTTCGGAATCTGAGTTTGTTAAACCAGCTTTATTAAAGGGAGCCCAGATTTTGACTCAGTAAAGCTAAAGGGTGTCCAGATTCAGTTCAAAGTTCTTTTCTCACCAGAGATAGGGTTCTTACTGTTGACTCTGAGAATGTTGAGGTAATAAGGGGTACAAACAGGATGTGGAATTTGAAATATTCAGAGTCAGCCTTAGATTTCGAGCTCTGCCGTAAAAACTTGATAATTTTTCACACAGACTTATCCCCTCAAAGAGCCGCACACTCTGCTGCAGCTGCCAGGTAACACTAATGACTCATCCCAGTTTCAACAGAGAAACTAATTTTAAAGAATAAACAATTAGAGCCAGGGGTCAGTAGTTAAAGCAGCTGTATTTTCAAAGTCAGTATCAATAAAAGACAGCAAACTTAGAGCACAAATCTAAAGTTAAAATAAGTTTTTTATTTGTCTTTGTGAAACAAACAAGAAAATTGGGTTTAGAAACTTTACATTTGTTACCAAGATATTTGGGGCAGAGCAAGTTCTACCACATAAGATGTTATGTGTTGCCCTAATAAAACCAAAACAAACTAAAACTCAGAAGAAGTTTTAGTTTGTTCAGAATGAAGAGATTTCTTTCCACACTTTATGGATTTATTGACATTTCATCATCATCATCATGGATGACATTTCCTGATGACAGAGGATACAGTTCACATCACAGTTATGGATTTTTAAAAGGAAGGGTTGATCTGGATGACATGGATAACACATTACAAATTCTCTCACACCAGCCAAAATACACATTATGATGAAATTTAAACCATTGATAAATCTCAGGAACATGCAGGCACCACCTCGCATTAAAAAGATTTATAAGAGCGCACTTTTTGACATCTGTTGTATTGTTATCAGTTATATTGATATTTTTTATTGCGTTTTTTTTTTTTTTTATTCAGCTCAGGCCACCATAGTAAAGTGCCCATAATGCATTGCATTTCCCTTTTCTTTTGTCTTATAGAACTGTTTTATTACTGTAAATCAATATATATGGTATAATCTTCATTAATCTGAAGTACAGGTTGCACCCCCAGTGAAAAAGTGCAATTTATAGTCAGAAAAATACGTTATTAATTTCTGGCTTTTCTTTCATGTGGAAATTTAATGTGCCAATTGGGCCATGGCAAAAAATCCAATAAATTAATGCATTTGAATCTTTAGCCTCGGACCATTAAAAAGAAATAAAAATTTAATCACTTTTTTTAACAGCGCATTTTTGACTCCCCAGAGTTTCTGTAGCTGCAGTATTTCTCTCAGGTTGCAGTTTGGCAACACACAGCATCACATGAAACATCACATGACATCATAACTACAGGTGAGTGAGAAGTATGTTCTCAAAAAAGGAATAAAATCATCAGTTTGAACTGAAGTCGAAAAGTTTTAGTTTCACCTGGTTTACTTTCGTAAAATATGTTCTTTAAGGAACCTTTGGCTATCCGGTTATTAATAGATTTATCAAAAAATTTAATCGACAGATAAATATGTTTGCAAAATGAAAAAAAAGCCCTAGTTACAATGGTATCATTCAAATTATCAATCGGAAGGAAATCTTTTCTGCATAATTTACTTGAAAAAGACTTCTAACCTTTGTGGGTTTTAATGTGAACATTTAAATTATAAACTTTAGAGAAACGTTTTCCACATGTCCCACAAGAAAAAGGTCGCTCGCCTGTGTGAGTCCTGATGTGATCCTTTAAATTACTCATCGAAGAGAAACCTTTCTTGCATATTTGACATGGAAAAGGTCTCTCCCCTGTGTGTGTCCTGATGTGATATTCTAAACTACCCATTGTAGAGAAACCTTTTCCACATGTCTGACATAAAAAAGGTTTCTCACCTGTGTGGGAGGTGTAATGCCTTTTCATGTTATACCTTCTCTTAAAGGATCTTCCACAAATGTCACAGTTCAGAGACCCTCTTTTTGTGTAATTTTGAAACCGACTCTGTGACATAGTGGAGCTACTTTCTTTCTGATCTCTAGTCTCAACTACAGGAGCGATATGAAAGAGGAGCTGATCAATTCTTGGCTCGCTTTCACTCAGATCCACTTCCTGAAAAGTAAAGGTCTCCATCAAAGTGACGGACTGCTTCTGGACAGGCTGCTTTTCCTCCTGGTCCTGTCTAGGTGCTGAATGCTCTAGTAGACACACTTCATGTTTCTGCAGTGAACAATCTGGTTTCCTCTTAAGTTCAAAAAGTGGAGATTCTGCTTTCTCCTTTTCCTTTCTATTCCAATGAGGTTCTGGTTCATTCCGTTTTTCCATCAGTTGCAAACCTGGTTCCTTCTGTTCCTCTGCAGCCCATTTAGTCTCAGGTTCCTCATTTTCTTCTTTGATCAGTGGCAGCTCTGGATCATCTTCCTCTTTAATCCACGGAGGCCCCGGTTCCCCCAGTTCTTTAATAGGAGATGAATTTTCTGGTTCCACCTGATCCTCCTCAGTCCACTGAGGGACTAATTCCTCCTGGTCCTGACGGGACCTCCTCCCCTGGTTAAAGAGATGTTGGATGGCCAGAGCTTCCTCCTCATGTGGCTTTTGGGGTTCTGTAGGGGACAAAAAAGATAATGAACATAATGCAATTAGCCTCATTTCCTTCATAATAAATGCAGGAGGCATGCTTTAAGACATATTTATCTGGGTAATAAACAAATATCACTTTATAAGCTGTATGCATTAAATAGTTAGAAAACAAGGCAACAGCTTTTACAGAATTGTAATCTTACTCAGACCGGGGAGGCTGGACAGATGCTATGGTAACATCGTACTTGCTTCATCAGAGAATCAGCAGCAGCTCCGAGTCACAGGTAAAGAATCATTTTATGCAGACAGCCTGCCTTCCCCATTATCACACCATTACATCAAACACATGTTTGTAAGATGAAGAGACTTCCCTCAGTCCAAACATACCAAAATATGACACTGTGTTTTTAGATTGAGGCCATTCTGAATGCCCCAAGAAAGACTGCTCACTGTTAAGAGTCATCAACTCTGTCTGAAAACTCTCATTTAATTTCCAAATTGTGTCTTAATTGGATAAACTGCTTGGGAGACATGAGCCTTAACGTGCATAAGGCGATCATCATTAGGGATTAACTGGCATACAGTACACAAACAGTAAAAATAATTCTAACAGACTGGATACTGGGGCATTTTTCCCACTTAAAAAACTCTGTTAAGGCCAGAAAACACCGACTGCATACGACTTTTTAAATCTCTGATTAGATTTTTCCCAATGTCACAATGAGGGTGGACAGACCTGCACAGATTTTTTTTTGTTCTGTCTCTCTGCTCTGTACTTAGATTTTGAAAAGTCATACAAAAAAAAAATAAAAAATGCTGGCTCCTTCTACAAACCACAGCCAGTCGGTGCAGCACCTGAAACCACAACAGAGAAAGTTCATAGGCCTATATTAAAAAAAAACATAATCACATCTACGTCTAAAGAAAAGAAAAACACAGCAAGTGGGAGGGTTTATATGCCGACTGAGGCAGAGAGATGATTCTCAGAGAGAGATCTGGGAAGTTTATCTGAGTTTTTCTTTCTTTTATTCATTACGAGGTGAGAGAGATATGCTGGGTTTACCTGCTCTGCCAGCCTCTCGTTACTTTGTGAGGCTCAGAGAGGATCACTGTTTTACTATATTCGTTTTTCTCCTCCTGAAGTGTTTTTTTCTGAGGAGATAAACTGCCCTTTCTGTCCCTCGTTGTTTTTAAGAGGCTCGAAGAGAATCACCACTTTATTCCTTTTCTTTCCTCTTGAAATTCTATAATGGGCAAAGTATTCTTTTTTTAAGGTTTCATTATATTTAATTGAGTCTGTCCAGCTTACTATATACATGATGTGCGACTCCAAACTGACTCTTTCCCTGTAAGATTAACAGATTTTTTTTGTACTCCTTATAATGACTGTATTACTCATTATTTTTAATCTAAAAATAAAGCAAACAAAAAAACTCCACAATTATTGAGATGTAAACTAGATTTGTTGAAGATGGAAGATAAAGCTGAAAGGACAGGTTAGCTTCTCAATCAGATTGCTTATGCTTTCGAGCCCATTAAAGGAAAATTCCGGTTTTTAACACTTTTAGCCCATTTTCTGTAGTGTCCAGGATGAAATCGATTGACACCAAAATTTTGACGATTGGTCCTGTCTCTGCTATTTGGCTCATGCAGAATCCCCCCCTGGCTGCTTCAGAATGGCTTCCATAGTGCATGTCCGATAATGTCCTTAAAACAACCTTAAACGTTCTTTTTTTAAAATATGCTACTCACCGGGTCGTCAGCGCTGTTCAATGACGTTCCAAAAAAAGTTTCGTGAAGAAAAACCGTTCCTGTCTTGTTTTTATTTAGCATTTTGTAAATCCCAGAGCAATTTTTTCCGATACATCACAACCGCTTATAAACTTCTGCTTCCCGTTCGAATCTGAAGCGTTGCACACTCCAGACCACTAGTTGGCGACGGTATCCTCTACCGTCAAACTCAAAGTCCAATATGTCCTCCTCAAGAATCCACCTTTCGTATTCCATTTTCAGAGTTTTTTAAAGTGTTTAACAGAGACGTTAGCACCTCGACGTCGGAGTACACAGAGTGAAGCATAAACACTTGGGCCTTGCGAAAAGACTACAACTAAGTGTAAACAGGCCCCATTTCCGTTTCCGGTGGCGGAGGGATATTGACTATTCCAACAGAACTCAATGGGATTTACAAAATGCTAAATAAAACACTACAGGAACGTTTTTTCTTTACGAAACTTTTTTTGGAACGTCATTGAACAGCGCTGACGACCTGAACCTGAAGCGCTGACGCTTCGTTCAAAAGACTGTATTAACTGTAAAGACTGTCTTTTACATCAGCCTGTTTTCAGGGCCTTTTTTTTTGGCTACATATTTGTTATTTTTTGCTACATGCCTCCCCATCTACTTGCCATATGTTTCTATGGCATAAATCAGTATCTGTGACCTGTTCTCATTTTAAAAAAAGAACATTGGCACAAACCTAGCCTGTATGTATTTTTTTGTATGTCATCGAGATTATTTAAATGATTTTCAATCAGGAAAAAAATTTGCGATTAAAATGCGATTAATCGCAAGTTAACTTAGGCATTGATGCGATTAATCGCGATTAAATTTTTTTATCGATTGACAGCACTAATATATATATATATATATATATATATATTATATATATATATATATATATATATATATATATACACACATGTCTAACCATATACATATATTCTTGGGCTTCAACTAATGATCATTTTAAAGATCAAAGAATCTGAATTATTTTTCAAATTAATCAATTGATAATCAAATAGCAAAAGTTTCTTGAAGGAACATTTTTTACAAACTTAAACCAGGTGAAACTTAAACTTTTCCATTTCAGGAGTTATGGATGGATCATATTGACAGATAAAAGCATCATTTATTTAAATGTAAAATATTTATATATAATTTTTACAATTTTGATACAAGCTGCTCCAAGTGGGTCGCTCTGTGTCTAGAACTCCAGTTAATGATTACTAAATTAGTTGACAATTATTTCAATAATCAATTAATCACGATTAATTCGATATTTCAGCCCATATATATATATATATATATATATATATATATATATATATATATATATATATATATATCACTGATTCTTGGGAATTTGGATAAAACAGGTTTTAATTTTGAAAATAAAAAGTTAGTTGGATTACAAAATCTGAAGGTATATTGTTATAGACCAAGGTCTTGGCTGTTCAGCAGTGTACAGGTGCAACCTCCTCATTTTGTATTTCTTTCATAAAATAGGCATTTTTCCAGTTATTACTTTGTTTTTGTCAACACCATCAGACACAATAAAAAGCTAATTATTTTTTATTTATTTGGTCTAATAAGTATTTAGAGTTTTTAAATCTTTATCTGGCATTGTTAGCACACATTTATGCTGTTAAATGTTGAATAATCATTTTTGTTAATTTTTTTTAACTGTATCATGTGTAGTCCTTTAAAATATCTAACATCAGATAACGTTTACTTTAAGCCAAAATAGAAAAAGTCATGTTTTTTTATTTAACAAACATATTTTTGTATTAAAAGAGACCATTACTTTAATGAGAGAACAGCACTGAAGAAACATATTGCAAGCATATTAATTTAAAACGAATAAAAAGCCCTCTGACGGTGGTGACTTTAGAACTGACGGTGGTGACAGTGGCCTCATTTCAACATACAATTCCAAACTGTATACAATTCAAGTCAATGGTTTCTTGCTTATTAACTTTATTTAACTATTTGGTCCAAAAAATAACAATCATGAGCACTGTGACAAATATTTTTCAAGGAATATAAGGTACAATTAAGAAATATCATTATCAGTCAGAATCATTCTCTGATGCTTTATTTTCTTGCGTGTGATTGTGTCCTGTTTGTCAGTTGTCATTCGTGCTGCATTATGGTAGAAATTTTGAACCTTCTGAGTAATTGCTTGAATATATGTAGGTTTTTTGTCAGTAGGCCTTCACACTTCTTTTGATATTCCCTGTTTCTTTTCCTTCTTTCCTTCACAGATAGCTGCTTCCTAGCCATAACTTCCTAAAATACATAAAGTCAAAGTTGAGTGTAATGACTATGAAATTGGGGGGAATTACAGTAAATGTTAGATTTGGTTAAATGTTGCCCTGCCATAGCTTACAAGGAATATTGTATACTATGTGCTATGTAGGTAGGTAGTAGGTGCACTATGTGCATCCCAAATGATGTAAACCAAATGAACATGGCATAATAGTGAATTGAGAGACAGGGAAGGCACACCCCATCCCCTAGGGTTATACAATATGTAAGAAATCTAGGCGGAATTACATAAATAAAAATATAAAAGAGGTTAATGAAACATTACAGATCAACAATTATTTTCTAGCCTCCATTGAGAACCATTTGTAGTTTTTTGTCACCACCGTCAGACAGAAAATCTGACGGTGGTGACAAAATCCTACTCTTTCACATGATATGCATGAGTTGTTCACATTAGCCATCTTGTTTCCCCTCTGTTGCTAGCTACTTTAGACCTCTTCTTAAAAAGTAAACATTTATGTCATAATCTAATCTAATATTTTTTATACAAAAGAGACGGTGTTGACATGTTATGGTTGTGACATTAGCAGTGTCCAAAAAATATGAACAAGTTTAAGAGAAAATAGCAAACCTACAGGAGCTTGAGTGACCTTAAGGCATCCAGTAGAGCTGAAGATTTGAAAATGGGGTCCTCAGGCATGTAGTTGACCTTTTAGTTGCCTGATTTTATTGCTTTTTATAAATATCTGACGGTGGTGACAAATATGTGGGACACATTTTGAACAATCACAAAATAATGGTTATTATTGTTCAAAACTCACTGTTTGTAGTTTTAAATACATATTAAAATGTACCCTTTCATTTGGTAAAGATATTATTCAATTCAATTATTACTTTTTGTTTTTTTAATCAAGTTGAAATGATTATCTCCTATCCAAGGACAACTGATTTTATAGGCAATGGGCCAGCATATAATCATTAAATTAACAATAAAATAAAAAAACTTTAAAAGAACCTTGCATTTGTGCAAAGGACCCCCTGATTATAACCTTGATTGTTTTTATTCATGAAAATTTTATTTCTTTCCAACAGAATTAGCACTTTCCTTAGTGGGACATGTTTTTGCCAAAGTTTCAAGAATCAGTGATATATATATATATATATAGACGTGAGCATATTTTTGGCACAAACAGCACCCCATAATCAGCAGATACCTTCGTAGACTAGAGACTATATACGATACGGTCACAATAATTATCTTTACTACAATAAAAACAGCATTACCTCTTTTACCTCTAGCAAAATCAAAAGCGTCCTACCGATTCTCTGGAGTTTTTTCTGAGGTTTCCAGTAATTTTCCATCAGTCTGTTTTCTTCCTCGTAGCGGATAATGGTTTTTTCTACCTCTGTGAAAATTTCTTCAGCAGCAGCAGTTAGTCGCTCTCTGATAAACTCTCTCAGATGCTGAACTGGAGACATTTTAACTGAAATGTTGAGCAAAGATATGAAAACACGGTCGACTGCTAGCTGAATCCAAACCAGCCGTTGAACTATTTTGTTTTCCTTCCGCTTTATGTCACTGAGACGAAGCAGCTGATTGGTTCATTTACCGCCCCCTGCTGGACTGAAGCAGAGCCGCAGCAGATTGGCAGGAAAAGCAGACTCATTTGTCTTCAACGACCACAACGTTGGCTCTGTTCGAATTCATGGGCTGCATCTTCCAAGGACGCGGTCTAGCTAGACTGGATCCTTCTAAGTCCGTGTACATAAGGAGTCCGGAAGAGTTTTGGTTGTGAATTTAAAAAAACATTATTTACATTTTCAAGTAGGAATCACCACATTTCTTTCTTGCATAAAAAAGAAGACAGCATATATTATAAACTTAAATATTGCAAGGCAACAGAGATAAATGAATAAATAAACAGGCAGTTTTATTACAACCAAAGGAAACATACAAAACTTAGGGAAAAAAAGACATTAAAAGAGACAGCCTCATTCTACTACAAGACAGTTCCTTACGTCACGTTACTTTAGCATTTTGCTAATACTTATAACAATTTCCCATACTTATAACAATATTGACCATATCAGATAATCCTTTGGAATGTCATTCTTGTATGTTAATGTTTGATTTTTCTCAAAAGGTGTTATATTATTTATTTTGTTATTTAACCAATTATGCAGGTTCTGCCAAAAGCAACCTGTGACTCGACAGGAATAGAAGAGATGTTTAATAGTTTCTGGTTCTTCAAGACAAAACACACAAGCATCCACCTCAAATCCAAATCTTTTCCTAAGAGTTTCTGCTGTAGGATAATAACTATTGATAATTTTATATTGTATTTCTTTGGAGGAATTGGCCATTTTAAATATTTGAAATATTTTGTTATCGGAATCATTAATTATACAACTTTTTGTTATTCCAGTAAAATTATATAGGATTTTGCATTTAAATGCTGTCCCTATAAAATGATTGTTACATTTTTTTTTTTATGTCTAATAAAAAATTGCTCAATTTTTAGTTCTGGCAAGAGTTGTTGTATATTTGACTGAGAGAGAGAGCTTTGTATTAAATGCAACAGAACAGCAGGTATTATTTTGCATACTTTGTTAAATTCTGTGTATGAACATTGGATACCAAATTTTTCTTTAAAAGTATTAAAATTTAAGAAATTTACACACTCATCTATTAGGTCAGTAACGAAGATCACTTTTTTTTTTAAACCAAACTTCTTTAAATATTGTTTTCCTATTTATCATTATAGTTCTGTTGTTCCACAGTGTGGAGCCATGTGGAGTAAAATTATGTGAAAAAAATCATCTTCCAAAAGTGTAATATCTGTTTATGAAATTCTGATAATTTGACTGGAAGTTTCCTCATTTCATAATCGCATTTCAGGATGATTTCCAGCCCTCCAACTTTCTTAAAAATATTTTTAGGGATATGAAACCAGATGGATTCTTTCTGTGACATAAAAGCTTTTATCCAATTTATTATTAAAACTCCTACCATTGATTCAAAATCTAGAGTTTTCAGACCTCCTTTCTCATAATCTTTAACCAGTTGTGATTTTTTTAAGATAATGCGTTTTGTTTCTCCATATAAAGTTGTATATTATAGAATTAGCTTTTTTGATGTTTTTTGATATCCCCTCAGATTTTGACCAACAATGGACAAATTTCTCATTAGCCAGAGATTAAGTTTCTTTTTCATTTTATCTATTTTTTCATTAATATTTCCTTCCTCCCTTGTTTTTTTTTTCTTTCATTAATTTTATTCCGAGATAGTTGACTTTGGATTTCACAGGAATGGACATTATTTGTGCTTCTGTACATGAATATAATGGTAGTATTTCACTTTTCTGTAAATTGATATTCAATCCAGATGATTTGGAAAAAACAGAAATAATGTTCAGTGCTTGGAAAACTACTGACTTGTTCTTTAGAAAGAAAACTGCATCATCTGCGAATTGACTGATGAGAAATTCATAATCAAAAATATTTATACCTTAATAAGCCAACATCTGGGTGCATAAAATGAGAAGTTTTAGTGCTATCGGACAACCTTGTCAAAACCACGAGAAATTTCTACTCTAGGGGTCATTCCTGGGTTTAGAGAAACATAACTGATTATGTCTTTATACAATATATTTATTACTTTACAAAACTTTTCCCCAAATCCTAACATTTTTAGTGTCTGAATCAGAAAGGGGTGTTCTATAGAATCAAAAGCTTTGAAAAGGTCAATGAAGAGAATGAGATTTTCAAAATCTATAAGCGACTGATAGTCTAGCAAATCTAAAGCTAATCTCACATTATCATGGATATTTCTGCCTTTTATGAAGGCTGACTGAACTCAACTAGAGTGGCCAGTACATATTTAAGTCAATTTGCATAAACTAAAGCTACTAATTTGTAGTCATTGCACAGAAGAGTTATAGGTCTCCAATTATTCAGGTTTAGCAAATTCTTATTAGGTTTAGGTAATAAAGTTATCAGTCCAGTTTTCATCGTGGGGGATAAGTATCCTTTATCTATACATTCTAAAAAAAGCTTTATGTAACAGCTCTTTAATATCATTCCAAAAGTGTTTATAAAATTCTGATGTTATGCCATCAATTCCTGGTGACTTCCCATTTTTCATCTGTTTTATTGCAGTTTCCATTTCTGATATGTTTAAGTCTTGATCTAATATTTTTCCCCCTTGTTCATTTAGTTTTTTTTTTTGTTGTCTTTGATTGTTTCAGTATGTCGCATTCTTCTTTTTGGAAATTGGATTTATACAAGTTGTTGTAAAAACTCCATATTTTAACATTTATCTGTTTTTGGTCATTAATAATTGTGTCATTTTTCTTCAGTTTATTTATTCTCTTTTTGTTTTGCCTCTGTTTTTCTCATCTATAGAAGTATGCTGTATTTTTGTCTCCAAGTTCTATCCATTTCGCTTTTGATCTTATAAATAACCCGTTAGCTTTTTCCTTATACATGTCATCTAATTTGACTTGAAGGGTGTTCAATTCAGCCTTTTCTTCTGTTGTTATATCAGTTTTTCCACATATCTCATATATTTTAAAAATGATTTGTTTTTGTTTTCTCACCTGTGAAATGTTTTCCCTTGTGTTCCAATGGCTGTTTAAGTTCAAATTTGAACCACTCCCATTTGTTTGCATGTGACATATCCAGACCATTTATTTTTTGAAAAAGAATTTTTAACCTGCCAACAGAATTTGGCATTAAGTACTAAACTATTATTGAATTTCCAGATGTTTTGTGATGATTTAGGTTGTTGAATTATTCTCAGAGACAGTCCAATCATGCAGTGGTCCGTTAGGGGGAATATGGAAATATCACATTTTAAAACATCTTTAGCTATAATCAAAGAAATTAAACAATTATCTAATCTTGAACACAGATTGTTATCTGCAGAGTTAGACCAAGTGTATTTTACAGAGGTGGGGTTTGAGATTCTCCAATAATCCACTGTATGTGTTGATGTACATAGATTGGTCAAAATATCATCATATACAGGGTTGCTGACCTCTATGAGGTTTGCCATCAAGCCATGAATCAGGAGCTATGTTGTAACCACTACCCATTACCACTTTCTCGATCATGAAAGTAATTTTCCACTCATTTATTACCAAACTTAGACTTTCCATCATGACTTATTAGCTGTTCTGTTGTTATAGCCATACACACAAAGTAGAATATATCTCTGATCATACATCTCTACTGCCATTATAAGCCAATGTCCATCTGTATCGCATTTGTGTGCAATTACCTTTCTTAAAAAATTATTGAAAAGCACCATCAATCCTGCAGAGTGAGAGAAAAGTATTTCATCTCCCCATTGCTGTTTCCAACATTTTTCATCTGTTACCTCTGAGTGAGTCTCTTGTAGAAAAATAACTATTTGCCTGTTGTTCCTTACAAAATAAAAAGAAAGCCTTGCATTTAACAGTATTTTTTAAACCTCTAACATTTATAGAAACAAAAGATACAGACATATTTTAGAAAACTCCAGAAATACGCCTTTTTTTTCTAACATTATTAGACGCAGGAATGTTTATGAAGTCCTTAATTGGAAATTTTAATTAAACCAACCCCCAGAACTCTTTTAACTTCACTGTTTCATACAGTTTACCTTTAAGTATAACTCATTTGAAGGCAATAAAACAAAATAAACAAAAACAGGGCTGTGGCAGTCTTCAACATTTTTTCTCCCTTGTTATTCGTTAGCCAACATATTTGCATAACCCAAAATTAACCTTTTTTTCTTTTTTTTACTTTTGGAATTATATCTTTACTGAAAACTCTCAATCAACACCTTTTACAGCACATTCAGAAGCATTTTTTGTTTCATGTTACCTGATAGAAAGGCACTTTTTGATCTTTTTTTAATCTTTTTTTTTTGTCCACTTTTCAGGGTTCGACTCGTTTGCCATCAATGACAGCATAACCCGCCTTTCTCTCGTTCCGTCTGGCCTCTTCCACTTTCGGCCACAGCTTAGCTCTGGCCTCTCGATCATCTTTAGAGAAGTCCTCCCTGAAGTGGATGTTTAGTTCCTTGCAGACTCTCTTGCATCTTTAGATTTCTTCCAGAATTCATTTCTGACTTTCTGGGTTCGCAAACTGAATGATGATTGGTCTCAGCATTTTGTTGGTCACTGCGTCATTTTTCTTGCCCAGCCGATGAACGGTGTCGACCGATTCCCGTATTTTATCCACCGCCGCTAGAATCACCCTGGTCAGGATCCTGACTACAGCCTCTTTTCCATCCTCGTTGTCTTTCTCCCATAAGCCCAGTAGCTTGTGGTCCCATCTCCTCTTGTATCTGGCATTTTCTTTACACATTTCCATCAGAGTGCTGTTTTCTTTCGTCAGGGCAGCTATTTGATTTTGAAGTTTTCCAATTTCCTCCTTATTTTCCTTAACAGCTTTTGTATTCGCCTCTATGTGGAGTTCATGAGACGTTTGTCCTGTGTGTTGAATCTTTGCAGGACTGTTTGAATGGCTTCATATATGCTCTCATTGCTAATATTAATTTCTTCACACATATTTGTTTTCTTCTTTTTAAGTGTTTTGTGGTCAGGGCTAGGAACCGGTGTGTGTTCATTCACAGGAGTTACCGCGCTCTCTTCCAACTCCTCCGACTCTGGAAAATCTTCTTCCTCACACAACTCTTTCAGTGCTCCCCAGTTGTAATCGTGATCTCGGATGCTAACTTGTTTTCTCCTTGCTTTCTCCATCCTCAATATCTTTTTTTCTTCTTTTTTCCGCAGCTGGAGCTTTCTTAAAGTTTGGTTAAGGTTTAAATGTTTCTTTGGGTTAGTTGTAAATTCTAGATTTCATCTTGATTCCTCCTCAATACTGAGGATACATCAGACCCGTCCTTCAAATCAAACTAAAAGAAGGACGCAGTTTAAGGCCGCATAACGAGGACTCTTGGAATCCGACCAGACCTCAGCGCCGCACTATGACGTAATCGTCCTTCCAATCTGGCCTTCTGAGGACGCGTCCCATGAATTCGAACAGAGCAAACATCTATAGGTGAACCACTTATATTTAGAGGGGTGTTAATGATCTTATTATTAATAGTATCAGTCTTATTTATAAGGAATCTCATAAAATCATTACTGCTAAGAGCAGGTGGGATGGACGGTTATACAGAGCCACGCCCCTGAACAGAAATCTAGGATTCTTCCTAGATTATTTTATTAATGAGGGGAAATAAGCTGTTATACAACAGTAAACTATTTTTCCAGACTAGGTAGGATTCCTGCAGGCATGTAGAGCCCCATTTTTTCTCTAGTTTCTTGGCATTTTGCTCCTAAGTGCACAGTTCTGCATTGAACCAAGGAGCCAGCTTTTTTTTTTAAACCCATAAGCAAAATAATCATTTTGTCAAGGGGAATAAATTAAATTGTTTCCCTATGCAGTATTGTTCAGTGACACAGAGGATATAAGAAGTGGAACAGATTCTTTCAAATTTATAACTGCATTATTTGATAATGATCCACTAAAGTGAAACCTTCTTTTAGGAGAGCGGAACGATATTTATTCTCCAGGTGCACACTATCTATATTTTTAAAACACGTTACAATGCAGTATTTTATTTTATTTTTATTCTAAAGGTCCACATTTGTGTGACCATTTTTTCTATAATCTTTTTCCTGCTGTAACATCAGAATTTCCCCATTGTGAGACAATGAAGTTCCAAGTATGAAGATGAGAATGTAGAGGGACTATTCACATTTAGAGCAAATCTAAGTTAGGATTAAAGGCTGCATTTAAGCCATCACCTTTAATGTAGGCAATTATGTTAAAATCAGCCGCTATAATCAACTTGTCAGAGTTTAACACTGAATCAGGAAGGAACTCTGAAAACTCAGTACAATTCTTTGAGCTGATTGGGTAAGTCAGTAAGTGGCACATGCCTTTATGTACAGTTTTAAGCCAATCACAGCAGCAGTAGCCACTGCAATGTATGACATTCTTGAGTTGTTTCACAACTAGCCGAGTTAACGCATTAATCAAACTCATCAAATCTGGTCGGGAGGGATGTGGAAACATGTTTCCCATTCATAAAGGTTAAAATCTTGTTCTTTTGTTTTTTTTTTTTATTTTAAAAAGAGTGTATTCCAGTGACAGCTTGAGATGGGCACCAGCACCCCTCGTGACCCCCAGCAGGGAGAAGCATGACGGGAAATGGATTGATTATTTTAGTTGCCTTTATTTAAGAGTCAACAGACAGGAAATAAGGAGGTCAGAGAGGAAAGACATGCAACAAATGTTGACAGGCGTTGACGTTGAATACCGATCAGAGCCAAGCCTTTTGAGGGTGATTTCAACCCAAGTGACTTGTTGAGTTGTTTGACCCGGGTCAGTGAGTAGTTCCCAGATCCACTAAAAGCCGATAGTTCGCAAGCTTACATGTTTGGTGTTTTTTGGCCATTGGGAAACGGGTATTAGAATGTGCTTCCAAGTATTGATGTCAAAGAGACATATTTGAAATCGGCATTATAATACATCAACACATCACTTTCAAGTAGAGCTTAGTTACCTAATTACATACTAAAATAAATAGTAAAACATTTTCAAAAGCCTAAAATGTATAGAGTAAAGCAGTAATGATTTGAAAACAAAAAATGAGACAAAGTATACAATAAAACATAAAAACTTAGTTGGAAAAGTTTGCTCAAAACTGACCTGAGAACTGGATGGAAACCCAAAAAACCACATTTTGCATTCCCTATCAGTAACAATTTCATTGAAAACAGATTAAGCCTTAACATCATCAGAACTTAGGTCATGCCAGTTTAAAGGGATATTGTGTAACAATTTCTCTTTTTTTAACTGTCTGAAATCAAAGATTGCATTTAAAAATAAATTTTTACCTTGCAGACACTTCAATGTAATTAAGAGGCGGCGTTGAAGATCATTTGGAGATGCTAACCCAACAAGTGAAAATCTGCACTACAGCAGTGTAATGCGGAACAGTGCATATGAAGCAGCGAGCAACGGTTTCACCATCTCCAAAAAAAGTGAAAAAGAGAACTTAAAACACGACAAAACCAGAGACACCAAAAACCAAGAACGAACATGAAGCAAGCATTCCTCAGGTGGAAGGTGTTAGTAAAGAAGAGATTTTAAACGGGATACCGAAGTTAGAAAGTTTCTCATTGACAAGTGATCTGTACTGCCTAAATTAGCGTAAAGCTAACTTTTTCCATTCAGCTAAATTAGGCAGCGTCGCTTGTTACTGTACAAGGCATAAAAGTAGATCCTGCAAACTAACCAATCTTCATAAAGAATTGTAGGTTTATGTATGTTTATTAGCTTTCAAAGCCACGGTGAACGCTGCCTTTTTGTCCCAGTAAATGAAAATGAGTCCTTTTTTGTCAGAATAGAAGGCCACTTCAATTCAATTCAGTTTATTTCTATCAATCCCTCACACTAAGCATACTTTGTAAAGCACTCCTTTGTTAAAAAAAAAGAAAAAAAAAGAAATTACTAGTTAGTTTAAATTTAAATTTTAAATGCATGTCAGGTCTAATGAGGACTACTCATTATTGTGCTTTCTTTCATGTGGTAATTCAATGTCGATAAAGCTTTTCCCACATATTTGACATAAATGGTTCTCAATTGTTTCTGTGTTCTTGTAAGCATTGAAATTACTACTTTGAGATAAACTTGTTCCACACGTCTTCCACGGAAAAGGCTTTTCATCCAAGTGGGTTGTAATAGTATCATTTAAATAACCAGTCTGAAGGAAATATTTTCCACATGTCTAACATGGAAAAGGTTTCTCATCTGTGTGGGTTCTGATGTGATCATTTAAACGACTCAAGCGTGAGAAACTTTTTGGACATGTTTTACATGGAAAAGGTCTCTCTCCAGTGTGGGTTCTTATGTGCTCCTGTAAACTACCAGTACAAGAGAAACATTTTCCACATATCTTGCATGAAAAAGGCCTTTCACCGGTGTGGGTTCTGATGTGAACATTTAAATTATAAACTTTAGAGAACCGTTTTCCACATGTCTCACAAGAAAAGGGCCTCTCACCTGTGTGAGTTCTGATGTGAGTATTTAAATCACAGATCTGAGAGAAACTCTTTCCACACATTTTACATGGAAAAGGTTTCTCACCTGTGTGAGTCCTGATGTGGTATTTTAAACTACTCATCCGAGAAAAACCTTTCCCACACGTCTTACATGGAAAAGGTCTTTCCCCAGTATGTGTCCTGATGTGATCCTTCAAACTTCGAGTACAAGAGAAACTTTTTCCACATGTCATACATGGAAAAGGCCTCTCACCTGTGTGGGTTCTGATGTGAGCCTTTAGATTGTGAACTTTAGAGAAACTTTTTCCACATGTCTTACATGGAAAAGGCCTCTCACCTGTGTGGGTTCTGATGTGAGAATTTAAATCACAATTTTGAGAAAAACTTTTTCCACATGTCGTACATGTAAAATGTTTTTCACCTGTGTGGCTTCTGTAATGGCGTTTCATGGTAGACTTATTCATATAGGATCTCCCACAAATGTCACATTGGAAAGACTTTTTGTTTGTCTCAATTTGAGACCGAGTCTCAGGCCCATTGTAGCTGCATCCTTCCTGAACTTTAGTCTCAACTACATGAGAGAATTGAAAGGAAAGCTCCTCAGTTATTGGTTCTCTTTCATGCAAATCCTCTTCATGAAGAGTAAAAGTCTCCATCAAACTACTGGACTGCTTCTGGACAAGCTGCTCCTCCTCCCAACTGTTGTGTAGGTCCTTCTGGTTCTGTGTAACAGATAAATGTTCTAGTAGCCATTGTTCATGTTTAGGTAGTGAATAATTAATTTCTTCCTTTAACTCAAGCTGTGGAGATTCTGCTACCTTCTCATCCATTTTGCTCAACTGAGGTCTTGGCTCATTGTGGTCCTCCATCAGTTGCAAATCTGGTTCCTTATTTTTTTCTGTAGCCCATGTGAACTCGGGTTCCACGTTTTCTTCTTTGATCAATGGAGAAAGTAGATGTTCTTCTTCCTCTTTAACACACAGAGGTCCTGGTTCCCTAAATTCTTTAATAAGAGGAGAGGAATGTTTTGGTTCCACCTGATCATTTCCAGTCCATTGGGCTACTACTTCACCTTGGTTATGACGGGACGAATGGCCATGTTCGATGGCCACAGTTTCCACCTGACTGGATCCATATTGCTCATGGAGTTCTGTGGGGGACAAATATTAATCATTAAAAATATCTGATTACCCCTTTTACAATGCATTGCTTGTTAAAAGCCTGAGGAACATTTTGACACAAATTTACCAAACTCATGGGTAACAGGTCGTGTTCTGTTAGGAATTTTCCAGATTTCCTCAGGAGGGTAAAGGTGCATTCAGAAAAAATAACAAAGATAGAATTAAGGAATGCTCTCAAGAGGTTTTATGTGGCTTTAAAAAAAGCCATTTTAATTTTTCCCTGGAAATACTGTTTGTGTCCTCCCTCACCTCCAGCCCAGGTAAAATCTATCACTACCCAGCATCAGTGATTCTGCGTGGATAGAGCTACAAAGAAATACCGTGTCTGGATGAATCTGACAGTCATCCAGATGCAGCTCTGGATGGAAAAAAGTGGACTCTTTTTGTGCTTCCAGGGCTTTTACAAAAATTGATGGTACTCCCAAGCAGATTCAAAAGCTGATCATAGAGCAAAATCTAGCAGCAAGTTAAGTTTCACCTGTGCTTTTATTGTGAAATACCGACAGTGAGACCTTGACAAGAAATGGCGCAATGTTGCCAAGGGTAACAGCAGGTCACTGGAAAAAGTTGATCATTTTTATATATTTCAGAGCTTAATGGGGTGAAAGTTGATCTCTGGATGATCTAAAAAATTATCTTTGATAACCCTGAAACAACAGTAGCATACATGATCTTTTTAAATTTTTTTATTTCATTTTTACAAATGACCATTTTAACTGCACAAGCCAACACTAATAAAACACTAGCCATTCATTCTATTTGCTAGTTTTTCATCTATGAGGGGTGTCACCTTTATGCAGCTAAAGCTCCTTCAATTTGATGATGCGGTCCAAGGTGTAAATACTGTGCATCTGGAATGCAGGGCGGTGAACTACCTGCATGGCTCGCGGAAATCACCGGACACTGTGTTCGATTTGAATGCACCACTACAGGCCGGGGTTTTTTGCAAAAAGCTGTTGTTCCATGAGAAAAATAGATAAATTATACAAATCTGTATAAAATTCTGAACTCTGACTTGGCAACTCTAGGACATTAATGGAGTGACCGTGAAGCATTCCTTTTAGATCTTGGCTACGTGCATTGGGTCTATGGTTTTGTCCATGGTGCCTCAGTACACTGCTTAAACATTATTTTCCTCTACAGGAAAGTTTCATGCCACCAACACAATGCTTCACTAAAGAGGTGGTACTGGCCTATGATAAGCGGTCTAGTCTAGTTTCCTTCAAACATGACATTCATATCAAAAAGTTAAATCTATGTCTTATCAGATCAGAACCTAGCACTGAACCTAGCGTTGCAACTTCACATATCACATCAGGTTTGGGTAATCATGTTATAGTGGTGAACTTGTAGGCTGTCATTAGAACAACAAATTAGTAAAATGCCTATTTTGCCACAACTACCTACATTTTGAGTGCCTGCTCTTATCTAACTATCTTATCTTGTTTTTGTTTTTTTTGGAATCTTTTGAGGGCAAGTTCAAATTTCATTTCAGTTATTATTCAACGCTCATATTTATATTTTATTCAGTTTATTACAGTTAATAAACTGAATAAAAAAATTCTTCATTATATAAAAGTTCAGAAAATGGAATCCACTAGGGCTGAATCAATTAATCAAATTTATCGTGTTTAAACAATTTCTTCAAATAATCATCAACTAACTTGTTTGCTAACTGGAGTATAGAGACACTAAAACATGTCAGAGCAACCCACTTTGAGCAACAATTAGACCACAACTGTAAAAAAAAAAACTAAATAAAAAAAATAATATATATATAGATATATATATCTATATATATATATCTATATCTATATTTATATATAGATATAGATATAAACATTGTGCATTTAAAGTCGCAGGGAAGCAGCTATTCCGACGGTTGCAGTATATATAGAAATATATACACATCTATATATATATATGTGTACATATATGTAAGTATCTATATAGATATATACGTATATATCTATATATGTATATATCTATATATGTATATATCTATCTATCTATATATATATATATATATATTATTTAAAGCTACTCAAAGAAAACTTTCTCTGGGAAACATAGATATAAAATAAATCATCCATTTCAACATATCTAATCATATATATAGGAAAATACGTTAGAATTTTCAGTTTTAATGAGACACTTATAGTAGCTTCGTACCAATTTTGTGATGATTTATTTGGGGTTTCCTGCAGATTTCCATCAGTCTGTTTTCTTCCTCATAGCGGAGGATGGTTTTTTCAACCTCTGTGAAGATTTCTTCAGCTGCAGCAGTTAGTCTTTCTCGGATAAACTCTCTCAGATGCTGAACTGGAGACATTTTTACTGCTGAAATATTTTTGCAGTTACGAAAACAAGCAGGTCTTCTAGCTTTGTTTATACGAGCTCATTTTGTTGTACTTCCGCTAACCGTCACTACTGTGATAAAGCAGCTGAATGTGCTATTTATCGCCCCCTGCTGGTCGGAAGTAGAACAGCAGATTAGAAACAAAAAGACTATCGTTTGGAACACAGCAGAACTTTTCTAAACAGTTATAAATTAAGTCAGTGTTTTGTCAGTTCATAGTCTAAAAGAACGAGCTCAAAGTTCAGTTCATACAAATGAAAAACAAGTAGCTCATGTTCATTGTTTTTTTTTTCCAAAAAGATTAACTAAGTTCACAAACCTACTGTTTAAATGAACTAATTCGGGACATTCGGTAAATTAAGCCACAATCCTACAATAGAACCTCATATTTCAGCCTTTAAATGTGTGATCATAATATATATAAAGAAATGGAAAATACTCGATGCAGTCATGGTATACTGAATGCAGGGGCAGATTTAAGAAATTTGGGGCCCTAGGCAAAGACGGACACGGGGCCCTCTGAATTGAGAAGACAACACATAAAACAGATCCATTATACAGATACGGAAATTTTAATAGGTAAGAAATACATTATTAATTCTACGTTTTGTCCTTCTCTTCTTGTCCCTTTTCTTCTTGTTTTTCTCTCTATGTTTTGTACTCAGCTGACTATTCATGCCGTCTCAAAAGGAATGAAAGACTTTTTCCAAGCACTAAGCTCACTTAGCTCATTGCTCCTTCCTGTGTTTCCAAAAAGGCGACGGCAAAAGTAAAGAATACAGTCTTTTCACTGTAGACAAGCCATGATGTGCTTATCTGTTTCAATGGATGAAATAATAACTGCATGAATCATGACAGCAGACAAGATAGAATTCTCCAGTAGCAGAAAAAAAGTTGCTAGATTTGGCACTATGTGCTTTTTTATGATAAATGTGTTAGAGGGGTCTGAAAAGTCCCTAAATAAGGTGACTAAAGCTCTCGGTTCACAACACTGCTCTTTGCATTGTTTTTAAATGGTTTGCTGCTGTTTTGTTTGGGCCTTTCTGAACATGTGCAGCAAATGGACTGATCCAATGTGCTGGACATTGAAGGGCGGGGGCTGAGATACACTTAATATTATAAAGGAATAAGAAAAGGAATATTTGTATTAAACATAGTTTTATGGGGCCCCCAGGAACTTGGGGACGTGGCAACTGCCTAGCATTGCCTAATGGTAAATCCCCCCCTGACTGTATGTACAGTGAAGCCTTTATTTAGACAAATAATACAAAACTTCTGAAAAAATCTGGAACATTCAGGTTCTGCTGAAAAGATCTGGATCCAAAATGATTTCTTATGTTCCTCATTCAGTATATTTCTTCAGTTAGCTCGGGTGCTTTCACTCGATGTGTTGCTTTAAATTTGAAGTTGACGTGGCTGGTGTACGTACATGTTTGTTAAGTCACTGTGGGCACAGTTTGCACAAAAAGCTTCCCGTCCCAGTCTTCATTTGTTAGGTGATCAAACTCTGCTAAGCGCTCTGTTAAACTGGCATCGGAAATACCAGCAGATGAGTCTAAATCACACAGACTAGTACTAGCAGTAGACCTGCTGGTCTGTCATGTTATTAGCAGTAATAAGTGCCATAAAACCTAATTTTATCCAATGAAAAGTGTCATTATTAATTGAAGGTGAACGTGAGCTGTGTGTGTCGCCCATTATTCCCTCGTTCTCATTACTTCAAAATCCGATTAGTTCAGCTACACTAATAATATGAACTATTTAGTGAAAGGCGAGCATTGATCACGTTCACGCACAACACTGAATTGAGTCGATATTATCCCAGATATTTTTCCCAGTAAAATTTATTTCCAATTGTTCCAATGTCATCCTACTATCTTCAAAAGCATAACATTCCAATAATATATGAATCAGAGTTCAGTTACAGCTTTAATGCTACCTGTACATCAGAGGCACTTCTTCTACAGCTAATGTTAGTGTACCTATCCTACAAACACCGTCTAGGATGACCAAAACCCGATTCACCAGATGAGGGACAAATACTATCTTTGTGCGGGGCAATTTGGGACACCAGTGTATCAAGGCAGTCTACAATAAAAAAAATATTGAAAAAAAAAAAATCAGTATGCTTCTTTGCTAATAACATTACTAACACACCTGACTGTGTACAATCAAACAGAACAGACAGGATACAATAGTACTTCCGGCATTGTATTTTAATGTTTCTTTTCTCCAACAACAGAGCAACAAAATAAACCCAGCAGAACTCAAAAAATCCTATTAAAGTTGTTGCTCAAGTAGAATTACATGCTAAACCATATATTCAAGCAGAACATGCTCTGAATTATTGTAGACCTCATGTAGTACCATAAGGTGATTATCTGAACAAATCAGAAACTCATTCAGCTCAGATTCACACACTGTAGTTCAGCTACACAAAATAGATGCATTTGAAAATGAACTTCCTTTACTAGATAATGCCATCTAAAATTACTACATTAAATAGATTCAATTCAATTCTGTTTATTTATATGGTGCCAATTCGCAACACACATCATCTCAAAGCACTTTACAATTTACCAGATTATACAGTCAATTGATTCAAAGTTTTCTATCTAAGGAAAACCAGTTGATTGCTTCGACTCATTGACTCAAAGGCAATCCCACACACTAAGCATGCTTGTAGCGACAGTGGAGAGGAAAAACACTTTTAACAGGAAGAAACCTCCAGCAGAACCAGGCTCAGTGTGAGCGGCCATCTGCTGAGGCCGACTGGGTTTCAAGGAGACAGAAGCAGAGAAACAAAAGGCAACCGTAAAAGGAGGCCCTGTCCGGGAAACACACAGACAGGCAGACGAGCTCCAAGCCAGCTCCCATGTCAGAGGATGAAGAGAGCACATCCACTCAGTCACAGTCAGAGAAACAGGACACTGGAAAAACAGTCCGATCTCCAACATGTATAAACAAGGCTGTTGATGGCAGCATGATGGCAGCAGTACAGCTGATATTTCTCTCCAGGATGGAGTCACACCCAAACAGGAACAAATGAGTTGAAGCTTGAGAAAAAGCAGAGAGAGCATAACTTTAGAGATTGAACTAACAGATTCTGCAGAGTGGGAGAATAGAGAGAGAATGAAGCAGAATGATGAAGTAAGGGTCCCTGTGTCCTCTAGAAGTCTGAGCCTATAGCAGCATAACTATAGAGATAGCTCAGGATAACCTCAGCAACTCTAACTATAAGCTTTATCAAAAAGGAACATTTTAAGCCTAGCCTTAAAAGTAGACAGGGTGTCTGCCTCACGGACTAAAACTGGTAGTTGGTTCCACAGGAGAGGAGCCTGATAACTAAAAGATCTGCCTCCCATTCTATTTTTTGAAATTCTAGGAAACGCTAGTAAACCTGCAGATTGAGAGCGAAGTGCTCTGTTAGGAACATAAAGAACAATCAGATCTCTGATATAAGATGGAGCTTTAAGGCTTTATATGTGAGAAGGAGGATTTTAAATACTATTCTGGATTTAACAGGAAATCAAAGAAGAGAAGCTAGAATATGAGATATTAAACCAGAAACACAAATCAAAACTGGTAAGGAGGAAACAAAAACTTGAATTAAATTAAAACATTTTTCCAGTTTTGATCATCAAAGTAACACAATCAGTGCTCTCCCAGCACAAAGGAGAGCACCTGGCGGATTTCTTTTTAAAAGTTTTATTCATCAAAAGTATTTCTTTCCTCTCCGTCGCAGCAACAATTAAAGGCAGATTGAATCCACACAGACATTGCACCCTCAGCACCACAGAAAGCACCTGCCGGTGAAACATAAGAATAGAGCAGTGTCTTAAAATCTAGCACTGCACTGGCCCGGTGCACACAATATTTTAAACCATATAGACAATGATCTTACGTTTGATGTTCTTTGGTTTGTCCTTTTTGCTTGAGCATGCAGCTTCTAACAAGGCCTTTTTCTTAGGTGCAAAGCAGTAGAAATCCTTGCAACTGTACTTAAGGTTGCTCTTGACTTGCATTCACTCTTGATAATCTCCAGAGAGCAACTGTTCCTCTGATCATTCCAGGCTGCAGTCATGTGGGAAAACACTCTCTCTATAGAAGCATTAGTTATATGGATGCTAAAGAGAAAAGATGAAAAAGCAGTCAGATTTGTTACCTTTGTGTTTTTAAGCAGGACTGACCACTTCTCCACAACAGGAGCTCTTCTCTTTACAATTTCCTGCTGGCATGGCAGAGTCACACAGTGTTCCACATACAGTTTATCCATGTCTAGTTCCCCCCTTATCCCTAGGCCCTGCAAAGCAGCACTGAGCTGGGAGAATGTAAAGCTGCTCTTCAGTGCCAAATGTGCAACATCCTTCTGGTAGATGTTGTCCGTGAAGTCACATCATTTTTCAATGTTTCAATTGGGTTCAGTCTTGTAGAAGTTGAAAAAAATCATGTTTGATAGTTGCTGCCTTTTAGTCAGAAAACTGTTCTACAATAGCACTGATCTCCATTCCAAAGAAGGAATCAATTTGTCTTAGTTGGATCTTAGCCTTAGAGTTAGCATTATGTCATATAGCCTGCACATGGACCCATCCTGTACCCCCAACAGAAGCACAATATCACTGAAGATCTTCAATATGTTATTTAGGAAAGCTAGGTAGGCCTTTAGTTTGTTGTCACCATCCTGATCTGGTTTTTACAGCTGCCACAGTGCTTCTGGGAAATCTCTCCTTGTGACAATTCTTGATAGCTTCCCAGCAGTCATGCAGCCTCTGGACAGCAGGTCACAGGCTCAACCATCATGTCGGTACACGTCTCTGTACAACATGACAACAGAGGCAAACACAGCTTTCAGTTCTTCTGTATTCTGAGCAGACATAGAAAAGGGATTTAATATTTTGTTCACTACATAGTTAATGTCAATATTCAACATGTCTCCAGCATGTCTTGCACAGTTTTATGCTATGTGGGCCATGCAGTTTGCCTTGATGATTCTTCACAACACGTCATCCCAAGGTACTTTACAGAGACAATTCAACCAGATCAGTTTTCTATCTAAGGATTGCT